GATCAATAGATCGGTTTACGTCGCTCACCATCGTTCGTCATCTATAATGTGTGTATGCTCTGACTGCTTCTTCATCACTGGTGACACGGCCGCTCCTACAATCCTATGCTGGCCATCGAGCCGCGCGGGAGGCCGAAGTCCCGAGGCCCCCAAGCCTGAATAAAGAGAGAAAGATTTTGGCGTGCAAGGGAACAAGCTCAAGATCCCTGGCTCTCCCTAAGCGACCGGAGCATGGGGGACTTGCGATGAGATCTAGATGAGACAATTCTCATGATAGGTCGCTCGATCGATCAACATGAGAGAGGATCCGCGACCCCAGGCACAAACGCGATACGCCTACTAGGACCCTGGTCCAAGCGAGTCCCATTCGCCGGATGACTGCCCTGGTCCACCAACGCATGAAAGGGCAAATACCTAAACATCCCCATGAGCTGCTCCTCGGTGTCCTGATCGAAACGACTCTCCTTGGCTAACGCCCAGAACCGGATCCGTCCACACCAAGGAGGAGCCAAAGATTCTGACGGGGGTGGCGGAAGGGGAGGAGCGACAAGATCTGGTGGGGAGAAGGGGAGCTTCGCATCCCGAGTCACCAACAAGAGGGAGCGAGACGCACACGAGAGCCATCTAGATCATTTAGGTCTAACTCTTAGTCGCCAAGCAGTAAGACAGAATCTCACACGAACATTCTTTTTTAACGTTGACAGAGAGAACCCAATGGAATGAATTGAAGCACCCTTACCACCAGAACAACAAAAGTAGTTGTTATTGAATGAAAACCGCATATTCTTAAACCTATCATAGACAGAATAGACGGGCATTGTCGCCTCTAGTAAATGACACAACAGAGTGAGAAGCAATAATTGTTCCTTCTACATGTGTGGCAGCAGATGAGGATCATGTTGCACCTGCTTGCCCAAGCGACCAATCTCCGTGCCAACCCTCTATTTGCGGCCGCCCCTAAGGCGATTTAATGGAATACCTTCAAATGGTATCAATTGGGACAAGTTTTCTAGAGACACCTCAAAATCACAACCAATTGGAGACTTTTCTCGGAGACGCCTCTAATCGATGTCCGTTGTGGTGATTTGGGAAAGCGCCCTGAAAGCTTTCATCCAATCCAAGGCATTTTCTTGATACGCTATAAGCTAGATGTGATTTGAAGCGAACCCAGAAACGCCTTCTTATATACATTTTGGAGGCGTTTATAGAAACATCCTTATCAAAAGACCTCCTATTAACAATCATGGCGTAGTGAGTGATGGGCTACACCATGATTGGTAACAAGAGGTATTTTGATACACACCCATTTTTTATACCGAATTTGACTAGATGTACCTAATCATCTTGCCGGCAATCAATTGGCTAGATGTACCGAATTCACGAGCACACACCCAAATTCAGTACATATCTATCGATTGTGTCTCAGAAAGAAATAGGTTGTGCTTGACCCCACATAGTCTCTAAGAAAATCGGAACATTCCAACTCCCCCCACTAGACCATAGTGTAGGATGACGTATTGACTGTGCAATCGCCCCCAAAAATGGAGAAATTAATATCATTATTTTTCAAAAGACCGTAACTTTTGAATCAAGCAAAGGGAATTGAATTTCATTTGTACAGTTAGTTTCCGCGGGCCAAGCTTTTGAAACTAGATCCCCATTTGTAGATATTTCGATTTAAAAAAATTGGGCTAGATGATGCAACTTTAGTACAAAAACAACCATCTTTTTTAAAAGTATACCCCATGTAGGTATGCATCGAAAACTTTATTCAAAACCAATTTTGATGCTACAAGATGCAACTTTAATACTACAACAACCATGTTTTCAAAAATTAGAGCCCATTTTTGATATAGGTGCAACTGTCTTGTAGTTAATGTGCAACATTTTTTATATTCGTGGATTTGCAGTTTTCCTTGCTGGCAGCCGCCCTAAGTATCCTTCCAGTGAGATGTGCAATTTTGTCTCTTGCCTTGGTGAACTACCTATTAATATGGAAAATTCTCTCTACCCGTGTGGACATGCAATTTTCACTGCTGGCACCCCCATCCACATTACCCTGTCAGTGAGATGTGCAAGTTTGTTTGCAGTCTTACCAACTGTCTTACGGTCAATGTGCAACTCTCCCCTTCCTATCCGTGGGTGTGTAGTTTTTATTGCTTGTGCCCCAACTACCCTACTAGTGAGATGTGCAACTTCGTCTACTATCCCGGCCAACTGTCTAGAAGTTAATGTGCAACTTTTCCTCTACCCGTGGATGTGCAGTTTTCACTGCTGGCCCCTGCCCCAACTACCTTGCCAGTGATATGTGCAACTTTGTCTGCTACCCCGACGAACTGTCTAGGAATCAAAACAGAACTTAGTATCCCCTACATGTTGATGTGCAATTTTCCTTGCTGCCACCCCTGTCTCAAGTACTATGCTAGTGAGATGCGTAACTTCTTCAACTGCGACACCAACTACCTAGTAGTTGACATGCAACTTTCTCCACTATTGTTGGCACCTTCCCTCAACTATCACAGACAATTACTTAACGACTAATGTGCAATTTTGGTTGCTGCCCTCGAGCGAATGCATAAATACATGTTGGACTAAATCCAAAACAGACTTGTGTCATCCCTAAAACTAGTTTATTCTGAATACAACTTAATAAGTGAGCAAAGAGTACGTAGAAAACACAAGTTTCTAAAATTTGTTTGTCCTTTTTAGAACAAAACAAGCATGAAAGGGGGTGCAAATTTAGTAATTACAAAAAGGATTGTTGATCATGTTCAATTCTCTAGTGAGCAAAAGAATGCGGTTATTATTGTTAGACTTTCGAATGATGTAGTGGCAAAAATGAGGTTGTTAATTTATGACATGTAAAGCACAAAACAGGAAGTTGATAGTACCTTATGCGAATGTGCTTTTTACCTTGCCCGAGAATGGGAAGGAATGATTGAAGGAAATATGCCCTAGAGGCAATAATAAAGTTATTATTTATTTCCTCATATCATGATCAATGTTTATTATTCATGCTAGAATTGTATTAACCGGAAACATTATACATGTGTGAATACATAGACCAACATAACGTCACTAGTATGCCTCTACTTGACTAGCTCATTAATCAAAGATGGTTATGTTTCCTAACCATAGACATGTGTTGTCATTTGATTAATGGGATCACATCATTAGTAGAATGATGTGATTGACATGACCCATTCTGTTAGCCTAGCACTTGATCGTTTAGTATATTGCTATTGCTTTCTTCATGACTTATACATGTTCCTGTAACTATGAGATTATGCAACTCCTGTTTACCGGAGGAACACTTTGGGTGCTACCAAACGTCACAACGTAACTGGATGATTATAAAGGAGTACTACAGGTGTCTCCGAAGGTACATGTTGGGTTGGCGTATTTCGAGATTAGGTTTTGTCACTCTGATTGTCGAAGAGGTATCTCTGGGCCCTCTCGGTAATGCACATCACTATAAGCCTTGCAAGCAATGTAGCTAATGAGTTAGTCGCGGGATGATGTATTACGGAACGAGTAAAGAGGCTTGCCAGTAACGAGATTGAACTAGGTATTGGATACCTCTTGGGCAAGTAACATACCGATGACAAAGGGAACAATATATGTTGTTATGCGGTCTGACCGATAAAGATCTTCGTAGAATATGTAGGAGCCAATATGAGCATCCAAGTTCCGCTATTGGTTATTGACCGAGAATAGTTCTAGGTCATGTCTACATAATTCTCGAACCCGTAGGGTCCGCACGCTTAACGTTACGATGACAGTTTTATTATGAGTTTATAAGTTTTGATGTACCGAAGTTTGTTCGGAGTCCCGGATATGATCACAGACATGACGACGAGTCTCGAAATGGTTGAGACATAAAGATTGATATATTGGAAGCCTATGTTTGGACGTCGAAAGTGTTCCGGGTGAAATCGGCATTTTACCGGAGTACCGGGAGGTTACCGGAACCCCCCGGTGACCTAATGGGCCTTAGTGGGCCTAGTGGAGGAAGAGGAGAAGGGGCCAAGGGGCAGCCGCGCGCCCCTTCCCCCAAGTCTGAATAGGACAAGGAGGGGGGCGGCGCCCCCCCTTTTCCTTTCCCCCCTCTCCTCCTTCCCCCCAAGTCCTAGTCCAACTAGGGAAGGGGGACCGGGAGTAGGACTCCTCCGGCGTGCCTCCTCCTAGGGCCGGCCGCACCCCCCCTTGTTCCTTTATATTCGGGGGCAGGGGGTACCCTAGACACACAAGTTGATCTACGGATCGTTCCTTAGCCGTGTGCGGTGCCCCCCTCCACCATATTCCACCTTGGTCATATCGTCGCGGAGTTTAGGCGAAAGCCCTGCGCCGGTAGAGCA